GGTTCAGATGGAGTTTCGGAAAAGCTGGGAGCGCTGGAGATTGGAACATCTGTATGTCCAGAGAGACAGCAGTATGAAACCTCTTAAGTGTCCAGCCAACAGCATCAGTAGTGGAGGCACGGTAGGCAGTACTGTCTACGCTGCCACATGTCATGCCACGTTCAGCTAAGATTTCTGCAGGTGAATGAGACTGAGAACAATGGACTGTGTAATATAACTGAAAACCATTATCCAAGCAAGTGGCTTACGTATGCCATCTCCAGCAAGAAACTTAAGTATATGCTGCTTATTGCCTGCAGGCTGTTGGACAAAGGTTTTTAGGGAAAGCAATCTGCTAATGTAATCAACACATCAGAGGAAAAATTGATCATGTCTAAAGTAAGTTAAAAGAGATCTTTCTGTTTGCACATAAGGCCTCCAGGTGTCCAAAACTCTTAAGCATAGCATTGATCCAGTCTCAAAGCATGGGGTCAATGGCTTATTACTGTTGAGTGGGCAAGCTGAGTGATTGGTTAAATTACAAGAATAGAGTATGATTATTGCCAAAAAGTACATTTAGACTTTTATGGGTTAGGATAAGGTGTAGCACCATTTTTTGGACAGAAAAACAAACAAACAAACACACACCCCCCCAAAACCAAACCAACCAAACAAAAAAAAAAAACACAAACAAAAAAGCCCTACCACAATACTCAGTGAGACACAACTTGTGTGTTAGGGGAAGAATCAGTTTTGTAGTAAGTTTCCCAAAGCTAAAGTTGAAGATGATGCTTACCCGTTTTCTCGGTAGGTGAAGAACAGCATTGTGAAGGTCTATCAGTACAGCAGGTAGCATGGCATACATTTCTGAATTATCTTTTTAAGCATCACTGGAAAATAAATAAACCAAACCAACTATGTGCTAGGGACCTCTTCTGCTATTAATAAGTGTCCATTGTCTCTATTCACATGGGTGGAAATAGCCCCTGAATGCACAGCTCTTGTTTTTACATGGGCTCTCTGTAAAAGACCTGGCACACAGGTGTGAGCAGGGATAGGAGAGTGACTTGTGGTTCGAGAGGACATTTTCTAAGCTACACGCTGTTTTTTGTGGGTGCAAGCACACAGAAGTCAGCTTGTGGTCACAGCTGCTCTTAGCAGAATTCAACTACTTGGAAAAGATGCGGTATTCCACTGTGTAGGCTTGCTTTTCTTTCTCCTCCAGCCTTGTTGTTTTTCTCCAGACGGGTGATACCTGCTGGAGGCTGCGCTGGACCTGGACTGGTGTGACGGATGCGGGTTCAGCACGACGGACAGCTCCCGTTGCCCGCCTGCCCATGCTGGGCTGGGCTGCCCTCCTGCTTCTCTTCCTCCTCTCCAGCCTGCCTGCCATCAGCGGGATTCAGAAAATGCCGCCCCCCCCCCCCCCCTCCCCCATCCTAAACTCAACGGGCTTTTGTCTGTTTGCTTAAAACTGCTAGGGCTCTGGCAGTGAATGTATCTAACCTAGCCCCCCCCCCCCCATGATATTAACAAGAGTTGCTGGGGAAAACCAGCGGTACCTTTACAAGCAGGATGTGCTCCTTTGCATCACTTAACAGCAAGTTTTATAGATCTTTACTCAGCTGTTATTCGGGCTCCTTTTACAGCAGAGAGGCAAGGTGCCAAGGACTAGCTCTGAGCACATCACCATCCATACATTTCTTGTAGTAAGTAACTTCCATGGTACAGCAGTTAAGACTATTAAGCAGAGTTAAAAAAAAAAAAAAAAAACCAAAAAAAAAAAACCAAAAAACAAACCAAAAGAAAAAAAAAAACAACCAAAAAAAAAACCAACTAACCAAAAACCCTACATATTTCCAAGTCTCTCTTTGCACTTGTGTTCACAGCCCTTGTTGCCAAAAAAGTGAACTGGATATTCTGGGGTGTAATTCAGTATCTTTCCTGCCTGAAGGTAGATTGCTTTGCATAGGATTATTTAATCATTGTATTAGAATCCAGATTGCCAACAGGGTGGATTAGTTTTGCAATCATCAGGTTAGAATTGAATTAGCAAGGATGTGTTACCTTCTTCTATGATGCTTGTAATTGAGCTCCAGGGTGTGTGTGTGTGTGTGTGTGTGTGTGTGTATCAGACATGCTTATAGAAATCCACCAGGCTGTCTTATGGACTTTTAGCACGCTGGCTTCAACCTGAGCCACTTCCAGGCCTTCCATTCCCAATTCTGGCTGCAGAGCTGACCTTGGAATGAAGCACCTCAGGTTCTTCTGTAAACTGAGTAACCAGCTTCTGTGTTGTGTGACCATCAATACAACACAATAACTGAGCACCACATGTGTATGTTAACTGCTGTACTACAACTTAATTAGCTTCCTGTATATAAAGATTATGCTTGATGTTTCTATTTAACATCTGCCCTTGAGTGCTTTGAATAGAAGCCTGGTAAAGTTAATCACTGGTAGGTGAAAAGGCAGCATGATGACAGATGAACTTTACAGTTGTATGATAATGCACACGGGAGGGAATAATTTCACTCATGAATATTTAAGAGTAGGTGCTAGTTTTCCAGGGTCCTGCTTAGTTGTGTGCAAACCTGGAAAAAAGTTTCTGCTACTTGTACAACAGTTAGCAAGATGATAGTTTGCTATGACAGGAAGCTACGGAAGTGTTTTAACTCACTACTATGCTGGAAAAAGTACACATAACAAATGAAAGAGGACTGACATAGGAATAGAGAATATTTACGCACATGGTACCAAACCTGTACTTAGCTGCTGTCACAAGATTGTTTCAACAGTTTGATGTGCTTTTGTGTTACTAAGCTCTTCTCCCTCCCAGACACTTAAGAATAGAGGGCTTTGGGCCCACAAGAAGAGCTCGAGCACCAGTCAAAATTCCGCCTTGTTAGAATACAAGAGAAATATAAGATGATGAAGTGAGACCTTAGCCAAGCAGAGGGTAGTAGTAGTTTCCCACCCCCTACCTCTCTGATTAAACTCCCATGCCTTCAAACCTTTTTAAATCCCCTCCAAGGGAGGGAACGACTCAGTGAGAGTAATTGCCACCAAAGCAAAATTAATTTTGAGAACTTGGGTACTTCCAGCAAGGCCTAAATACCAATTTCTCCATCATACTTTATCTACCTACTTCAAAAAAACCTCTTGCAAGCCTTTGTTATTTTACAAGCTGTCTCCATTTCAGGATTTATAATGTGATTTGAGTATCATGAAATAAGCAAACCTAACACAAAGCACTGGAGCAGATGAACTGTGTGAATTTTCATTTCTTGCGCCTTTCAGCTTCATGCTCATTTATTGTTGTAACTTGTTTCATGAAGCATTAAATAGAAGGGTCTACAAATTCATGTGGACATAACTAGAGTTTACAGCAAATTAAAACTTCCAGCATTGCTGCTATAATTTTATAATTTCATGAATATCACCTTGTATTTAATATTTATTTGCATGTATTTCCTGGTTTTGAAGAGCACTCACAGAATCAAACTGTATAAGATGTCAGAGTATCAACTCCCCTTAAACACTACGCTAATGTTTATTTTTATCCTTGTGAATAAAGTTTCAACTCAAAAAATTCTGTCAGTCATGTATTTAAGTATCACCTGACTACTACTTACTCTGCAATTAGAATACTTTTTAAGAATGGAAAGACTCATAGTCTTGGTTCTTCTAAGGAAACAAAGCTCTGTATTTGCAACTGTATGTCCAAAGAGGCTTTTGAATCTGCAGGGGCTGTGTTAATCAAAACCAAAATGCAGCATTTTATTTGTAAAGAGTCAGAAGGAATTGGTAGGAATAGTGAGAACTTCTGAAGTTTTTTTTTAACCAAAGGATGGCAAAGTATGTGCAAATCCCAAAATTCTGTGCTCAGCTTTAAGTAGCAACATTTGGAATTTATACATCAGACCAATGCAGAAGCTAAGAGAGTGCTGTGAAAAGCTACTGAGAGATGCTTGGCAGTGTTAAACGTATTACCTGTGCTTTAATCTATTATTCTCTTTCCAGTCATATTAAATTCAAAACAACTTTTCCTTAGTTTCCCCAGTGGTAAGTCAACTGTGTGTAACTGTGACATAAGAAAAGTCATAAGGAAACAGGATTTGAAAGACCAATTTGTGACTCAGCTCAGTCCTCAGAGGCACAAGTTCTACTAGCTGCTCTTCACTATGACTTAATGATTTAATAAAATATGTATTAAAAAAATACCAGTGGATCATACAAGAACACTTTACACATTGTGGGATGGTACTAAGAAGCACCATCAGCTGTGCTCTCTTAAAAGGACTGTATCCAATGACAGAGCAAATCCCCTTCCATCTGAGGGCCTCTTGCATTTCCACATTTGCTGCACACTTATCCCAAGTTTCTTCAAAAATGATGGTTAAACTCCTATATTTTATTACATGCCAGGAATAATAATGTCTTTTTTTCTTACATTATAAATGTAAGGCACTGGAATGGGTTGTCTGAGGAAGCTGTGAATGCTCCATCCCTGATGGTGTTAAAGGCCAGGCTGGACAAAGCCTTGGATGACACGGTTTAGTGTGAGGTGTCCCTGCCCATGGCAGGGAGTTGGAGCTAGATGATCTTAAGGTCCTTTCCAACCCTAACTATTCTATGATTCTATGATAAAAGTTGTTAACATAAAGCAAACAGGGAACTTGCATTAAAATCAGATGTTTGTTTTAGATGAAAGACATGAGTGCAAACAGAAGCATCATTCAATTTCAGGTATACAGATAGTGTTTCATGTCTGTTCTTCAGAAAGAGCATTCTTGCTAGTGCTGGGAAGAAAAGCAGTTGTCTATTCCTCTGAAGGTGCCCTCAAATACCAGCCTTCCCGTACCAGTGGCAAAGATCACCAGTAGCTGAAATTCACCAGATGACTCACTGCTGTGAAAAGACCGTGCCTATCGCTGCACCACCAGCACAACCCCGGAGACGAGGGGTTTTGCGGCCGGCTGCCCAGTCTCAGCTTCCCCTGGGAACGAGACCGAAGCGCACATTTTGCTACGGCTTTATTCGGGACCGGCCCGGGCCTGGGGAAACCCCGCCAGGAGAAAGGCACAAGCGGCGTTTTTCACAGAAATAACGTGCTTCCCCCCACTTCCTGAGGTCCGTGGTACGGGGAGTGGAGGTAGTGCGGGTCCCCGGCAGCCGAGCCAATTACTACCTCCCGGCGGCTGGCCGGTAATACAGCTCCCGCTCCAGCTGCTCCACGGTCAGCGTCCCGCGGATGGGGACGCAGCCGGGGTTAAAGACGGAGTATGCGCTCAGCTCTCCCTGCCGCCGCTCGTCGGGGCCGCGGGTGCCGACGTACATCCAGTAGAGCAGGGAGAGGACGAAGTAGGGCAGCCCCAGCTCCAGCTCCACGAACAACGCCAGCAGCACCGCCCACAGCAGCACCTTCAGCACCAGCAGCAACCTCCCCGACACCGGAGCCACCGCCTCGCCGGGAGGGGCCTGTAGAGGCGGCAGCGAAAGGCGGCGTCAGGCACCGACACGACGCCACGCAGCCCCGCCCCTCTCCTCCCCTTCTCCACCCATGTCAGCGCTCACCTGACGGCCGCCGCCCGGGCCCGCCGCGGTGGCTTCCCGCTGTCCCTCGGCGGCCTCCGGATCCGTGGCCGTTCCCGGCGGCTCCGCTGGGCGCGATGAGGCGGTGGCGGTGGCGCTGCCGCGGGCGGCCCGAAACTCAGCCAGGCGCCGCTCCACGGTGGCAGACATGGCCGCCCACGCCTGCGCAGGAGCCGTGCGGTAGCTCCGCTCGGGGGTGGGGCCGAGCAACGCCGCTCCGGGGCGGACCCAAAGTGGGGTCTGAGTCGGATGGAGACCGGGGGGGGAACGTCTGACCCGGAACCGTGGGCGCTCGCGGGGCCGAAACTCCCGTATGGGGACCCACAGGCAATAGGCAATGCTCTGCCTTTCCTTTTGTGAATTGGTACTGGAGCCAGCCGGTTAGCTCTGGAAAAAAAACTCTACATCACCAAAGGCCTTCCCCTTTTGTGGTTTGTCTTTTTGTTTTTCATATTTAAACCTTAATGACTAATGTTGACACCAAAATGAAAAGGGAAAGGATAGAAGGAAGCATGGGATGACCAGAACCTGGAGAAGAAGAACGAAGCATTAGCAACCAGCGTGACCAGCAGGGTTTGTGCTGGGTACTGGAGTGGTCGTTTTAGAGCTGTGCTGAGCAGCCTGGGCAGGGTTGGCATGGAGGAGGAGAAGGAGGAAAAAGTGAAGGGCACCCACATGTGCTGGGTATGCCGGCAGGCCCATGCTTAGTGGTGTGAGAGGGGCCACGGCTTGCCTTGGGCACCTGCTGCTGGCTGTGGAGGAGTGTGTGGTGGGCTTCCTCCAATGCTGGCATAGGGGCCTCTCCAGTGTCCCTTGGCGCGGGTGTCTGCTAAAACCATTCCAGTTCATCCCACTTTCTCTTTAAACAAAAAATTAAAATCAGGAAAACCAGCTCTGTCACGTCATCTTTCAGTTATTAGTACAGCCAAGAAATAGAAATGTATTTACTGGAGCTGGCTCTTAGCCTCAGGAGTGAAATATTTATCACTCTGCAGCAGTAATGATTAGCCATGAGACATCGTTTCATCCTGCAGTGCCATTTCCAGTTACTTACAGCTTTCTCAGAAGTGACCTTTAGGGCTGAATATCTCACACATGTGTCAGCTCAGAAGTTAATATGAGAAGTCTAATAAAAATCAATTTGGGTGTTCTTAAGTTATCTTAATGTGGAAAAAAATTGTGGTTTTTTTTCCAGCCAAATAATTTTTCAAATGCCTATTTTATGCTCAGTTACAAAATAACTTACTTTTAACCTTGCAACTTTGCAAAAAGTGACACAATGAATGACATTTTTCTCTTTATTTGTGGAAATTTGATTTTGAAATAACAGTCCAAAATGTTTTAAGATAGCCTGCACAAGACATTATTTTGAATTTTTTTCCTTTCTCTTGTACTACTGTTCATGAAAACAGTTCCTCCAAGAACTGCTGGGTAATTCCACGTTATGTTCTGCATGCATCATTCATCAAACTAATAGTTACACCTGAGCTTAATAGCACTTTTGCAAGTGATTCACATGCTCTCAGCTAATATTAAAAATTTACTAGGTTTAATATGTATCTGCTGTTGTGCAAACAAATAGCTATCTTATGGCTGTGTCAGGGTACCTGTATTGCCCTGTGTTGTTAAGACACATGTAAAAGCGTGCTGTGAGTCATGCCTTTGAAGACTAAGAGCACTACAGCCATCTCATCTGTAAATGAGTGTTACACTGCAGACAAATGCCTAAACAAATTTGGATCAATAAAGTCTTAGATGACTTCAGTATATCGGTTTTAAACAAACAGCTCCATTGACTAGAGAGTTTATTTAACAAACCATCTGGACAATCTGTTCCCTACTGTTAATGCTTGTAGAGGTCCTGAACAGTTCACCAAGGCCAATCTTTGGCGCCTCAGCCAGTGGTTGGGAGGGCAGGGAGAGCACGGAGAGCTCAAAAACTTCTTCTCTGTGTCTCTTAAGTCACTTCATGCCTTCTGTACTACATATGAGGGGGAAAAAAAATGCTTGTAGTCTTTTTGTAGATGTGAGACCATGAGTCAAGTCTTTCTTCCCTTTTGCTGCAGCTAAGTAAATGATTAATCAAAAATGTCCAGTGCTGCTGATAGATCTCTCATGCTTCATTCTCAGTAACTGACATTCTGGAACTGCTCATCAACTTTTAGGAGGCAGCATTAAGATAACTTCAGAAACTTGTGATTATTTTAACTTGGTTTCATGCTAAATCATAATGGTAATGTCTGTAATACAAAGAAGCCCAGTGTATTTCTCTCAAGAAGAAAACCTCTTCTTCTTTATATATTTTCACTTTTAACCATTTTGAAACCCTTTATCCCAGCTATAATCTTTTCATTATATTTTATTATTTATGATACAGAAGAATCTTTGCATTCTACTCTCAGCCAGTTATCACCAGCATAAGGGAGTACTTTTTCAGTTCTTGGGAACTTTCAAAACATTAGGAATCTTGAGTATGTCACTCCATCAGCAAGAGAACTGAAAAAGATGAACTGGCTCAGTGGTTTGGAATGTTGTTGCTTACTTCCTACAGCTGCAGCTATCAGTTCATGTGTACCAGCTTTTTCAGATATCAACACTAATCAAGTCACATTAACTTTTCTAATGGATTACTCTAATTCACTGACAGGAGCTTTCTCCTTCATGAGATAAGCATCCACACACACACTGACTTGCTAAGTGCCATTAATGCAGACAGAAGGGCAGCCCATTATTAATTTAACAACCTAGCTTAATTAGTTCAATGGAGCTGAGGGAGCATTAGCTTTAGTTGTTGAGGTCTTGGAGAACGTGCATAAAATAGATTGAAGTGCACAGACTTATACTTGTCTAATTCCATACAGAGCTTTCTGCATAGCCATTTATTAATCAATTCTAAACTGCAGGGAAGAACTGCTTCCTTTGTAAGAAATGGTCATTAATTTTCCGTCCTAAAATAGCAGCATCAGAGTGCTTTGCCTTTAGACACAATGGAAATTTTTTTTGTCTGCCTTTTTATTGAACTAGCTTAGGGTCTGAATTGCAAATTTTCCCGTCTGTGTAGTTTCAAAATGCGTACATTGGTATATTCACCAGTGCATGCTAAAAGGTGCTGAGATACTGGTACTTACGTTACTGCTTTATACACTGAAATGTTCTATATTTAAACACATTAAAACATGGGCAAAGCAGAATTATTACTATTTAAGTCACAACTCTGAAATGTTCCTTATCATTTTATGTGCAACTTCATTTGAGGAAAAGAACACAGTTAATATTCCTCACTATTACAATGTCAGCTGTAAATGTCGTTTCTTCTCTTCTCAAAACTTACTTATTAAAAAAACCCAAACCAACCCAAACCCCCCCCAAAAAAACCCAACAAAACAAAAAACCCCAGAACTTTGTAAATTAACTGTCAAAACACTTTTTTGAGGTTGAAGATACATAAGGCTTTTTGGGCTTGAAGTGAATATTTTTTTATTCTAGGTTTGCATAGCACTTAACCACAGCAGCCCATAACTAGATGCTGTAACAGCATTTCCCCTGTGTTACAGACAGTGAAAATGGAAGAGCGTCCAAGAACAACATAGAGCCCATTCTGTACCTGAGTTCTGGTTCCAAATCTATTCCCTTCAATTCCATTGGAGTTTAAAATATAGAAAATACTATAAGCTAGAAGGTGAATAAAAACTGACGAAGACTAAAAAGTGGAATGCATTGCCCCCTTAAACACATACGTATACACAGTCTTCAGAAGCTTTCATTAAAAACATGCCATAAACTTTAGCATTCACAATGACTGCCAGTTTTATACAGCCACTTCCACAAAAACACAAAGAGTAGCAGAGCACTGACAAGTTTCATTTCATTTTTAAAAGCACAGAATGCCCAGAAAAGTTTTGCAATGCTTTCTCATACCTTCACATCCCTGCCATATATGATAGATGTCATCATCCAGAAGCACTGAGCTGTCATCACAGTTGGCAATGTGCATTGCAGCTAGCTGGCTCAAGCCTTAGGCTTTTGCTGATAAATATAATTTGCCTATAAACAGTCCAAATGCAGATGAGACCGCATCTTCGCCGCTGAGACGCATGTAACAGGCGTTAGGGCTGGGTGCTATTTCTGAATTTTCACAAATCGTTCAGCAGAACACAAGATGAAAGAGGGAGGCATCATGGCAGTCCTATTCCTCCTTGGGTCTACAAAAAAGAAGTGAGTGTACCTACAATAAAATACTTGCATATGTATACCTCCACGTAATCCACAGGACAGAAGTCCAAACTATTACTTCTGATAAACTGTCAAATTGTATGGAAATACTATCACTTTACTCCTTTTTCCAATTTCTCTTTTTTATCCTCATCTGCCTTAGCCCCAGCACCTACACTGAATTTTGGAATATTTATGATGATTGTCACCAGAAGGGAAACTGCTTGGTCAGATCACAGCGAACAGGGGGCAGAGGTTAGGGGTAAGGCCTTCCCTAGTTTTTTGAAAGATGGGAATAAACTAGCAAATCCACCAAGAGAACTTTCAGCATGACCTAGGAAAACACTTTTCCACATCACTACTTAAATAAATGGTATACCAACTACTTCTTTCCAGTTTTGCTATGGAATAGTATAAATAACTGTCATTGCAACAGAGCTTTGAGTTCTAAGCTACACCCAGAAATGCACAAAGCTTGTGTTGAGGTTCACCACTGAAAATTAGTGGATGGCACACATGTCCTGGGTTCAGCAGTAGCAGTCATGTTTCTCCTTTGTGGTAGCTGGTGCAGTGCTGTGTTTTGACTTCCAGCCTGGGAACAGTGCTGGTGATACCGATGTTTTAGGTTGTTGCTAAGTGATGTTTACCCTGACCAAGGACTTTGTGAGTGCCAGGGAGGAGGGGAAGCCAGGAGGAAGCAGAGACGGGGCACCTGACCCAGGCTAGCCAAAGAGGTATTCCATACCACAGCATGTCATGCCCGGGGTGGGGGGTAACTGGGAGTTACCTAGAAGGACACGGGCTTCCGGGTGGGTCTCGTTTCTTGGCCAGTGGTATTGTATTCTCTTCCCTTGTTATTTTCTCTCATCATTGCTGTAGTTGGTAGTAGTGGTGGTAATTTGTGTTGTACATTGGTTGCTGGACTGTTCTTGTCTAAACCCGTAGGAGTTGCA